CCCCCACCCCCCGGTGTTCGGCTTCTTTGTCCTCTTCATCCGCTCGGCGCCATGGCAACAGATGGGTTGACAGTTGTGTAATCATCTCAGTGTGAGCGTACAATACGTACGGTTCTGTGTGTGTGAAGAACCTCAGCAGGTCACACTCACTGGAAGTTTGCCCCCCCCATGTGGTTGTTGTTTTGTTGTTTCAATCACAAACAAACATCAGCGGTGTGTGCGTACCTTCCAGTCTGGTGGGAGTTGAGCTCCGAATCCGAGAGCAGGAAACATTTTGTCACTGAGGAGGAAACCATGACAACAGATTGAAATATTTGTTAATTTCTTCTTTTTTTTCTCTGTGATTCAAAGGCAGCGAGTGTCGGATTTAAAGCAGCAGAGGAAATCCTGTTCCCCTGTTCTCATAGAAACACCTTCAGAGCTTTACAGAAAAAATAAAAATCATTTTTCTCGTGTTTTTATTAAAGTGGTTTGATTCTGAAAACTCTTGTTTAATAAACGATGAATAAAAACGGTCTTTAATCCATGTTTAAGAGCCGAGCAGGGAGAATAAAGACGGTTCTATTCTGTTTTATTCTAATCTAAAATGATCCATGTCTGTTATTGTAACAGTTGAACCTTTGACCTCAGATTTGTTTAACAACGTGAATCATTTCCCAGCTGTAATAAAGAAAAAACCTCACGTGTCGTAGTCCTGTATGATCTGACCCACAGCCAAGATGGCCGACAGGTACTCGTTGCTGCCCAGAGGGTTGATGTAGTGGAGGGAGGACGGCTCTCGAGGGTTCCCGTTAGACGCCGTGAAGTCGATACCGACCTGTGAAAACACACAGAGGCTGCCTCACATCCACCTGCTTAAAACATGCAGGAATTACATGTTGTCACAATAAAACAAATAAAAACACATAAATGGATCATTTCTGTTTGAAATCAAATCTTAAAGTACCTGTGATGTGTACATACAGTACATGAAATATAAAAAGGCAAAGATAATATATTTATATTTAGGAAACTTGGCATAAAACACGATTTTACCCATTATGTCCCATAACTGTTTATTTTATTTGAAGTTGGCTCAATTAAAGTGAAACAGGAAGTGACATCAAAGGGGAACTCTTTGAGAAAGAAAACTTCCTGGTTTTAGTTTATTTAAACAAAATTATTTGAACTTTGACTCTTTCTCATCTCTCTATGACAGAGATTAAAATAATGTAAAGAAACATCAGATTCTTCTGTTAGCCGTTTTAGCAACACTTTGTTTACATTCAGACATTCCCCTTTGACATCACTTCCTGTTACTTCACATGCAAAATATCTCAACAACTGTTTATCTCAGCAGCATGAAATCTTTTTTACAACATGTTATCATTAGCTGTGTTTCCATTGCAAATGTGCGCAAAACTTTGTCGATATTCTGTTAATGTTGAAAAAACAGTTTCACAACTGCAGTGTTTCTATTAAGTAAGAAATGTTATTAAAGTCACGTGAATACGTTTGTTCTCA